GCCAGTAATGAATTGATTACCATACTGATGTGTTTGCCTAAATGATGGCTGTTTGATCGTGATTTGCTCGGTGGTCGAACAAACTCTAAGACGCTGAGTTTGTCCTGCTGAACGCGTGTGCGCCACTACCGCCAGGAAGAGAAAGAGAGAAAGCGAGTGAGACCACACGCAAAGGGAGCACAGTGAGCAATGCACTACACTTCCCTGCACTAGGCTGTTCATTCGTGCCCAATTAGGACCACTGCACTGCAAACTTTGACTGTACTAATTAATGACCAATTCTGTTCTACTACCACAACTGTAGGTGCACAGTACTTCATCGCTGCGACGACGAGACGGGTTGCTGCGAAAATCCGTGAGTAGGGGAGGGGAGTAAAAGTTGCTGGAAATAAAAAACGCTGACCGCACCTGTTGCACTTTTTTGTTTATTTTTTTCTTTTCAAACACTACACAGAACACAAAAATGCGAACCAGAAAGAACCGAACTGGTAGATCTCTACTTTTACGTTCGCCTGAACACTGTCAACAACGTGACGGGCGGAAACAACGTGGAAGTGACCAAGCTGCGCTTTCTCAACCACACCAAATGTGCCTGCAAGAGCATCAACAACAAACCGCGCAATCTGCAGCCAACGAGGAGTCCCATCAAAACGTATGTCACCCAGAGACCCAAAGAGCAGCAACGCTACCACTCGGAGCGATCCACTTTGTACGGGGGCGGAGAAAAAACGCGCCACGACATTCACCAAAAGTGCAAGAATGTAATAAAGCACTGTCCGGAGCCGTTTGTAAAGCGCTTCCGAGAAGTGGATCGACGCTGCGTGTGCGAGTGCTTCAGCAGCAGCAGCACCAGTGAGCGCGCCTACGATCTGTGTCAGCGAATCAAGAGCGGCACTGCCCAATTGGAAGAGACCTGGGCCAGATGTGTGCGCAATGCAAGCTGTGCCAAACCAGAGTGCAACATCAACTTTGACTACAGCGCAGAGCAGTCAGGATGCCTGGCAATGAACACGGCTACAAAGCACCACCAGTTTAGACAGCACCATCACCGACACCATCACCACCGCCACCACCACCACCGACATCGCCGGCATCCGAACCATCTGCAGCAACTGCTTCAATCGTTGCAGTCTCGCCACCAGCATCCCCAGCACAACCACAGCCAGAAAATGTCTTCAGAAAGGCTCACCGACGACTCTGACTCAGATTTGCAGCATCATCTCTCCACCGACTGGTCTGATTAGTCATCATCGTAGTCCATCGATTGCTTTTTCCACTTTTTTGGTGCCATATGTATGTTTCAACAACGAGGCACACAAACAAACATAAACACATCATAACATCATCTTATTTGTCCTATTTCGAAGCAGTGTAAACACAAATCAAACTTACACCACACACAAACCCGACGACCACTTTTTATTCATTGGCAACAGTGTTTGCCAATGCTATTTATTTCTAACACGTTTTCATGAGCTTTTTTGCGAAATGGCGACAATGTACATAGACTGATCTTTTAAAAAATGTAACATCACCGGTAAAACGGAGTAGCATAATAATTTACATTGTTAATAATAAAATTGTTGCTGAAATTACAAACAATACATTGTTGCAAGCTAAAATTATTCATCTTCAATAGAGCAAACGCATAAATTCCNAAGTAGCATAATAATTTGCATTGTTAATAATAAAATTTTTGGTGAAATTACAAACAATACATTGTTGCAAGCTAAAATTATTCATCTTCAATAGAGCAAACGCATAAATTCCCGCAGACAAGCCCATTTCTTTCGCATCAAAATTCGGTCTCAGTGATGCAGCACACAATGATGGCCACTGTGCGATACAAGTGCAAGAGCATTGTGCAACGTGCATCTCCTTCTCCTCCTTCTCTGCCTATTATTCAGAAGCATGTTCAGCTTCTTCTCATGAATTTAAATGTGCAGTAATGAGCCACCCACAAACTCATTAGCATTAGACATGCACATCCTTATCCTCATCACCCTCACCCGACAGCCAATCTCTGATTGGAAACCAATCGTAGATGTGCTGCTGTAGGCCCTGGCAGTGGTCAGTCAGTAAGTGAGGCACGCCGACTCCAAATAAGGCTGTATTAGCCAAGGATTCTGTGCATTGCACGCTGCGATTGCAGTGGATGAGTTTTAGTTTGCATCTCTAGCCACCATTCTTTTGCATCTACAGTTTGACGTTCAGACGACAAACACACTGACAAGATGCAAACAATGTGCTTTAATATTGTTCTCCTTTTTACTTTAATGTTTCTGTCATGCATTAATGCTGAAGAAGTTGGTATGATTTAAATCAAGTAATGCGCTATATGACACTTTATGGTAACTTTTACTTTAGCAGAACGACCAACCGAATGTCAGAGAAAGTGCAACAATGACACTCAAGAGCCCATCTGTGCTTCGAATGGACAAGTCTACGAGTCAGAGTGCCTTATGCTAAAGGCTAACTGCAGGTTTGCCTAATTTTGGTGTCAGAAATACCTAAAACAATATTTCTCATTTATAAATCAGCCTAACTTCCGTCGATTGGGAACTCTGCCGAGGGCTGCATCCACTTTGCCCAGCTGACTGCTTGGACATTCAAGACCCAGTCTGCTCAGGTAAACATTTTTATTTATCTTGTTCAATATTGGCAACTAATTTTTTAAGATGACGGCAAGATTCACCCTAACAAGTGTGTGATGCACAATCGAAACTGTGGCGTTAAAATCTCCGAAAGACCAATCATCTTTTGTCTTGGAAGTCATCGAAGTATGTTTCAAATAGTAGAGTATAAGTAATACTGTTAACGAGTCTATTTAGAGTCCCGTCATCAAGAAAAGTGCCCGGAACAGTGCTTGGAACTCTATAAGCCGGTACTTTTGCAAAGATTGTGCAATAATAATCTGTACTCACGTGATCTGCTTAGGTGTGCGGCTCCGATGGACAGATATACCTCAACGAGTGCTACCTTCAAATGGAAAACTGCAGGCAAGAACTGAGAACTTGCACATGCATTGATTGACCTTAACTAACCAAAAAAGTGACAACCCTGCACAGGAACGGAGTGGAAAAGATGGACATGAGTGAATGCGTTTCGCCATCAAGGTAAAAGAATCACTTTGCACTTTCTTCATGTGAACTAATTGTCCCTCTATCCCCCCTTTGACAGCTGCCCAAGTGAGAATGCATACCATTTTATATCACATGAATCCCCAGAAGCAATCAATTGTTTCCCTTTCAGCCTCCTGCATTCCCATTTATGATCCAGTCTGTGGCTCCAATCGAAAGGTGTACCTGAATCAGTGCACCATGCAGAAGGAGAACTGCAAGAGTCCGGTCAAGAAGATGCCGCTGCAGTTTTGTGTGGGGGACAATGTGGACAAGCTGTAGTTTTGCTTTCTACGCTGACTGTTATTTGCACAGACATCGACATTGAAACAAAGGAATTATTATTTAGCAATTTATGCGCACACATAAAAAATATTTATACTGCGGTAAGGACGAGCAATAAATGATGTTGGAAATCACGATAAACAACAGTTTATGTTGCTCGGGCGCGAATCGCTGCACGACGACCGGTGACAGCTTGGAAGCCACTCTTGATGTTGGCGACAGATCTTCTGGATCCGCAAGTTTCGCATTGAAGGAAGAAGAGACGAGTTTCCTTTTGCAAAATGGTCTCGGGAGAACGGCAAGTTTGACAAGCGACATATTCCTCTGTTGGAAGCAAAAGATGCTTTTTTACAAATCTGATTCAAAAACACAAAAAGTAAACTTACTGATGTACTTTCGAAGCACACTCTCAATTTGTTTCTGCTGAAATCGGCCTTTGATGATTAGCTGGTTAGCAGCATCGACAGAGCCGCTTGTACCCAATTCAGTAAGTAAGAAGGCTTGCATGTGTTTTGGCTGGCGATGGAGACTGTGTGGGGAAAAGGTAAACACAAATGAGTAAACCATGAAAGAAAGGCATCAACAAGGTAAACATACGATTTACAGATTTCAAGAAAGTTCGCGAAAGAGGTCTTTTTGGTACCGACCCGAAGCACTTGTGGAGGGCGCATGACAAGCTTCTTCTTGGTACCGGACTCACTCTCGGGGTTCTTTTCCTTGATCTTGTTGTAGATAATCTCCAAGAGCTCATCGTAGGTGTAATCTCGATCAGTGTCGAGCCATTTTGATTGGCCAGAACTGGCGGCTCCCTCCTCCTTGAACTCGTCATCCAACTCACCCTCGTTTTCCTTGTCAGCCGCTTCATCCTGATCAGGCAGATCAAATGTGGTCTTCTTCTTCTTCTTCTTCTTTTTGGCGGTGAAGTCAAAGTCTAGGTCATCGACGGCTGCTTCGGCCGCCTGTGAGTCGTTTGCCCTCTCATCACTAGGGCTGGCTTTTTCTGAGCCATCTTTACCCTCAGTTGGTAGGGCACCTTCGAGATCATCAAGATTGAATGGCTTCT